TTTAAATATTCAAAATGTTATTATAAAAAAAGTATATATATATTTTTTATTATATTTATTTTTAATATTTTTTTATAGATATCATTATAATATATATATCTATATATTTAATATATACTATATTTAAAATAATATTAATAAATTATATTATAGTTGTTATACAATATATATTATATATATTATTAATAATTCATTTAAATATTTGTAGTTATATAAACATATAACATAGGTTTTGTCTTTGAATGTTAGAAGAATTATTTTTTCAAATATACCACTATTTTTACTATTAATACAAAAATATTTTAAACCAAAAACCATTTTTGTTTACAAAATAAAAACCAATAAATACAAAAATAATGCATACAGCCATGAAGGCCAAATTCGATTTTAATAAACTATTTAAAATAATATAATGGATATATTTCGTTGAAAAATTATGGCTAATAAATAAGGTTTTATAAATAAAATAAAATTTACTTTATGCTATGTACTCATGAATGGTTGACTCTGAGGTCAGTAATAGAATTTTCATTAAACTTGGACCTATTTTTAACAAAAAGGAATTTTGTGTCTTTGAACTAAATAATAACAATTACCTGCATAATGGTAGGTACTTTATGATTTTGCTAAGCGAAAGGGAAAGGATATTTTTCAACTAAAATCGTTGTATTCGGATGACGAGGAAAGATAGAGAAAGAAAATATACTTGTAATGAACAAAGTCCCGCAAGAACCCGAAGAGTCTTTTAAAAACTGTAGTTATCCTTGCCCCAAAATCTAGTGGCTTTCACCATTTGTGTATAGAGAATCTCAAGGTGATCGTTATTTTAGGAAATATAACGCGTGTTTACGTTGTGCAAACACATGCGTTTTACGCCTGTTAATTACGTCTGTGAGTATGAAGTCCTTCCTAAGGTAGTAAAGCAAATAATAAAAACATTATTGCACGAATTACGAAGAACCATTGGAAACAGACCGGAACAACTAGATGTCTATAATAGTGAAAATGATAATGACCGAGTCTAAATAACTTGAGTTTCCGAATGTTTAAAAAAAAAAAAAAAAAATTAAAATAATTACAAACGGATATCAACGAAAAGATTAAAAACATTAATAGATTCAGACGTATAGGACGTATTGGACATGCATGTTTGTAAATATCCATGAACTTATTCAATTAAAATATGTTGCAATTTGTAAATAAATAATAAATCAAATCTCGATTTCCAGTAAACAAAACAAACCACGCCGAATGCAACATCGTTAAAAATTAGTAAGTTATATAATCGCGGCGATTGTATACACATAGTTATCCGGCTAGCAGGAAACAACGTCGGGCGGTATACCCATAATATGTGTGATACGAAACAGGGCTTTTGCGAGGTTAAATTTAAATCGAGATTTTTGTAACGTACGTATTTGAAATTCGTAAAACGTATAGGATTACGTAACGGACGTTTATTGGACTGGTTTAAGTGTTTATAAGACAGTTCTTTCGACACTTACGCATTTCGGAACACGCGGGACTTGATTTTCTAAACAAATTTTACCGAGCGCATATGAGCGCACGCATCCGCCCGAGTGTCTGAGTCGTTACGACGGGCAGTGCGGCACGTATGTTGATTTGAAATATACGTGTATTTCTTTTTGTCGTACGCTAACTAAACTCATAGATCACATACCGGTTACTCTTCGATCGTCGCAGCAGACCCCGGGGCGACCAAAATAATTTTGGTTAGTGGCAGGGTCATCGGCATCCGGTAGCCCCCACGAACGTATATGCAGAGGTTCACAATACTATTTTTTTTTTACACACAATACGTATACAGGAAGAAGAAGAAGAAGAAAAAGGAGAAGAATATTGTTGCTGTAATGCAACCATTGATTGGCAACCGGTTTCTCATGGATCTGGCGTGCATGCCTGTCGCCGGTGTCGCGTCGTACACGCATCCCGAGAAATAATAATAATAATAATAATCGCCTGCACAACGGTGCGGCAAATCGAAATCGAACGGAACCCATTGTCCACCGGGGTCCCTATTGTGTCCGACCGATTGAAATAGATTTCGTCCCCGAGGCGAATTACTCGCTAATTAAACCCGATGAGAACGCCACCTCATAGAAAACGTACAAGATGAATGAACTGCGCACACAAATGTGATCAATGCACACTTGTTGTGTGTATATATTGTCATGAGATCGTCAAACGTATATAGCGTACACGAACGACGGAATTCCGAACGTATCGAAACCGAGATGAAAATTGTAAGCGCCAGGTTTTCGCAAGTTCCGGAGAGCAGCATTATCTGTTAACAATCTCTGACAAAGAGTAACGTTGCCGAGAAATTGTGATGGCCTCTCGCGTGCAGTTTGAATCCGTGATATGGTTATTATTATTATTATTATTTCGCTGGTCACGTGTTATTTTGATTTTCATTATTTCTTTTTCGTTCGTTTGCTATGATTAGAATTTCACGCGAATTTCGTGTAAAATTAAAACTCATCGCGGTAAACGTAAAATTCAGAAGTATATTATTTTATGCGTTCAAACTGTAATACGCATTCTATACACTTTTATTTGAAGGTACATCGTATACAAAGTTATTTTAACAGATATTATTAATAGGCGTTCGTGAGAAAAAAAATACGAAGCAAATAATTGAACGAAGAAAGTGATATCTTTTGTATTTTCTAACAAATACTTACAACATTATTTTTCCATTTTATTACATAGAATATAATATATATTATATAATTAAACATCAAAGGGCGTAGAAGAAAATCCGTTTGTGACTTAATCAACACGGTGCTTTTTTTAAATGTAATTATTCGAGTCAGGTGAATCGTCAATTTATTTTCGAGCAATAACCGTACACACAGTTTACTGACATTCTTATATGTAATAATCAAGGATATGTGTAATCTAAGGTATCAATATAATAATATAATGATTAGTTTATGAAGAATATATATTTAAGGAAATTAAAATGACAAATATTATTTCTACGTACCTACCGACTACAAACAATAACTGTGAATTAGAAGAAATACGACGGTTTTATGGAATAATTATTATGATCATTAATCGAATCGATGAAATTAATTAGACTTCGTTCAGAATTTTCAAGAAAATGAATTATTATCAATAAACTATAATATTTTTTTAATATTTAATACAGTAATACAATATATTGTAAACCATTAATAATTACCTTGCATAAATATTAATACCACAATGAAAGGAAAAATTAAGTGCATATTAGCTTTAATTAAAATCATAAGCTTATAGAGTATAATTTTAGATAGATAATAAACGTACCAGATGACCGTTGCACGTGTAGGCTACTTAACTGAAACTGAGTAATAGATAGTATGTGGAAAAGATTGTGTTTCTTTAAAAAAAAAAACGATCGTAAAACCACGTAATTTTATCATAGACCCATCCCAGAAACACCAAGTACTCTCATTACTGATTTTTATTTAAATACGATAATTTTCACATATTATACTCGATAGAAAAAGAAAAAAAAACTATAGTAAAAACATTATTTCTTTTGGTACCCCTTTTTTAATACATTTTATTATTAAGGATTATTATATATTTTTATATATTGTATAGTATGTAAATATTTAATCGAATATATAATTACTTTTTTATTACAAAATAATTGAACCCCTGAACAGTATAATTTCTTAATATTCTATAATTATTATGATATTTCAGGAAAAATTCATTGGTAGGTTATTAGTAGGTATTTTGGGACACTATATGCATCTAAACTTGGGCATATTGGTAAAGACATCATAGTATGTTAGTTTTATGCTCTGTAGTGAAAATAACATGATCGTAAAACAAGTGATGTCTATTGAAATATTTTTGAAAAAACTATTGTAACACAAAGTAATCCCAAAAATCCAAAAATGAATTGAATTACAATAGTTGAATTTTTGAGATCATTAAAGTTTGATAGTTTCAATCAATAAAACTATCAAAATACTTATGAACTAATCAAACCCTCATTCTAGTACAATATGATAGCGTATGCAAAATATATATATGACTTTAATGAATAGCAATCTTACGTTTTGAATAATGAAAATAAAATAAAGTGAAATAAAATCTATTTTAAATGGGCTACTATAAAATCGTGTACTAATTGTTTTCGATATATTGCAATAAACTATAAATTACTCATTATGTGTACGAGGAACTTCAAATAATAAGTTCGATCACCAAATATCAACTGTAATTCGCTAGTAAATGGAAGAAAATAATGCTCAGTTTTAATTTTAAAGTCAATAGTAAATAGAAAAATAGAAGTAAAATAGAAAATTTTATTCGATAAGTATATTGTTCTCGACTTAAAATATTTAAGTTGCAAAATAGCAATTAATCAACACGAATCGAAGTTTAAAAATATATGCATTGAATGGTGACATATTATGACGGAATGTTTATGTTCAAACACATTTAATAAAGCATGTATTTATGGTAAAAGAAATCAACAATTAAATTTAGAGATAATTAATTTATAAAAGTTTTAACCATTTTAAATATATAATAAAATATGCTATTTACTATTAAATATGAATTATGAAATTAATTTTTTTTATTTTTTATGATAACTAAATAATTATTTTAGATTCTATGAAACGAATAATATATTATCAATAACAAAAAATTTTCGATTAATAATAAGTAGGAATAAATATATTTTTAAAAACTTAATATAATATAAATACTATTTAGTTAATATTATTTTATTACAGAAATGCATAGGTTTCAAAACAACTGGCGCTATCTAGTAGATATTTACAAAATAATAAGATTTAAAGTAGTAAAATAATGAGTGTATGTAGTAATATTTATTTGAATCAATTTTTGATACTTAATAAAATACTTTAATGTAAACAATTAAATTTATAATTTTATTGATTATTGTACTAAAAAAATAATTATTATAGTCTGGATTAGACACATACATTATTATTGAATATTACCTGTATTGTTTATTGAAGGCTCCGTCTTGATATATTTGCTTTGATTTATATACATATCTGAATTCTGGTTTAAACTCGGATTAAGCTGAGATACAGGATTTAAAAGTTTCTCTAAAACATGAATTACAAAGATAAATTTGATTTTTGCACAAAGTCAATTATATAACAATATCCCAATTTTAAAATTATTCTAAATCTGTAGTATAAATAAAAAAAACAAAAGTTTTATTTTAATCATTTAATTAAAAAAAATTACTCAACATTAACAGGATGAGAAATTGTAAAACCCACTACTAAACAGTGTTTGACTAGAGGGGGAACGCAGGGGAACGGAGTGCTCCAACTAATTTTCAGAAATTTTAATGTCTTTCTACTATTATAACACTATAATCATAACGCTCAGCCAGTTACAGGGATGTTCTTTTTTTTTAAAGTAAATAGAGTGCCCCTTCTTTAATTTTGCCAAGTCGAGCACTGCTACTAAATGTAATATACTTAAGATATTTAAAGGGGTGATGATACACATCTTAATATATGATATAATCTAATTATAAATGAGGATTTGAAAACTGGATATTCCCTTATTTAATTGAAATGAATTGATTTTTAGCTTAACAACTTTTTTCAAGAGCCTGGACAGTTAACACAACATTTATCTCTACTATGAATATGTTCTTTCTAATCAATATTTCCCTTTATCTTTCAAGGTCTTTTTTTATTTCATCGAACCAATGATTTCTATATAAATGGTTTCCTATTTTTTACCATTATATAACTGTTCTAATTCCTTCCTTTTTTCTATTCTTAGTATGTCCATAACATGATAGTCTTTGTCTTTTAATAAAATGTATCAACTATGACACTATTCTTATTTAAGAGTAGGTTTCTTATATTGGAAAAATATATATTTTTTAAACTATCATACATAATAATAAATAAAGTCAAATTTCTAATTTAAAATATTGAATTATATAATATAATAAAAAAATTAGAAACTATGAAACCAAAATTTAACATAAAGTTGGTTTATGTTGTTTTATAATATATATTGTTTAAGTATAAAATACTAAATACTAAATGTTTTTAATAACTATATTAATAAATTAACTAATAGGTTATATATAGAAATAAATAAATAAATGCTTAGCCTAGAGTGTTATTATAGTTTTAATTTAAAACCAGTTTTATTTTATAAATATATTAATACTCTAGTCTGAGCATTTATTTATTCATTTATTTATATATTAATTTATGTGTATAAAACATTTACTAATTTTTATTTTTATTTAAGTTTTTATTATTATTTTATTATTTAAATGTTATTATTTTTAATAGTATTAAGTTAAATTTTTTACATTTTTATTTTCATTTTTTATTTTTGTGTACAATTAAATATTATTTGTGAGTAACATTTGTAAAATAGATTTTTACAAATTATTTTTTTTTTAGAAATTTTCAAAATATTTACTTTAATATATTAAATTGATTCAAAATATTAACTTTACACAATAATTTATAATTTATTAGCACATATTCTGCTATCAAAGTATATACCTGCTAGCAAAGGATTAGCAGTAGTTATATTAAACTTCTTTCCAGCATTTGAACGTTGCAATTCTTGAAGTAAAGCAACAGCTGCATGATTTTTGTTACCCGTTGACACAACATTGTTATTATTTTCTTCCTGAAAAACGGTACAATATTATAGTAAAACTTCATATTAAATGAATAAAGTCTGCTAAGTCATGCTAAGTCACGGTTATTTTATAATTATTTGTATTCTCTTTTGGTAATATATTTTTTTAATTAAATAATGATTTTAAGAAGGATATTTTTTAAATATAAATAAATAAGGATAAATATTTAATAAATAAAAAAGTGGTATATTGAGATACAGGTACTGTATGAATCACTAATCATTATTATTTTAATATTTTAACTCATGTGGCACTACCATTGTACATTTGTTCCTTGTATTAGACTTAAAGTAGGTAAATATATTATACGTGTATTAAACATGGTTTTGTTGGATAATAAATATTAATTCTTCAGTAAATATTTATATACATTTAATTAGGAAAATGATGATGAATTTTGTGATTATATTATAAAAATGGTTTTATGATTATTATGAAGAAATAATATTTATTGTCAAACCAAACGGTAGGTATTATATGATTGGGCGTTATACATAGGTAATTTAATATACATGAAATCTGTGGCGCCGAACACGTATTTCAGGTAGTTCAACTGAACTGCCTAAAATTGGAATGTTAAAAAAAATTATAAATGGTAGTTAACAAAATCAAATTAATTATTTTATATATTATTGGCAAATGTTTTCTATCTAATGATAAATTTATTTTAGATATTTAAAAAAAAATTTTTTTGGGTATTTTGAAGAGGTGGTTAATTGGAAGGGGTCAATCTATTAATTTGAACTGGCAGTTGCAGTTTCATTTGATTACTTATTTTTGCATAAAATAATTTTTAAATCAATACCATTAATCAAACAATAAGTAGGATTTATTGTAAATTGCATAATAATAAATATGGGTTTACTTTAGATAATAGTAAGATTTCAAAAACATTATAATTTAGACTTTATAAATCATAAAAATGTAATTTATAATATATTTCCGAGTACATTTGATAGAAATTAAGACATTTCTTAAAATAAGAAGTGACTAACATTAAAAATTTCTTTATTTTTCGGAAAAGAATATCTAAAATAATAATTTTAAAATAATTCAGTGATGAATAATTACGAAAAATTACATTTGAATTAATCACAATAAAAAAAAGAATTCAGAACTTACTAGACTACTATTTACTGTATAAATATTATACATATTAATTAGAGTACCACTATTATATAATATTTATATACTATACATTCCATAATACCATCTGGAAAAATCAAAATGGCAACCATATCATTTAAAAATTATAAATGATTAGATATTGATGAAATTGAATACTGCGATAAACAATTTGCTATTATTTTACTGTGATTAAATTTAAGTACACATTTTTTTAAACGTTATTTATAATATAATCTGATGACTAGCGAGTTTAAAATATATTTTATAATAAAATATAACAATAATACACAATTGTGTAATAAATCCCGTGTTAGTATTGATTAAAACATTTTGTTTTTATTTTTCTAAACAATATTATTAAATACTGAGTTTAAATATATGTAAAAATAGTGAGAACCCAAATAAAAATTATGTAAATGGTAGTTTGGTGACTTCTTAATTCGACACAGATATTCTAAAAAATAATTAAATACATAAGTATACTATTAGAGATCATGTACAGAAAATTTTCTACACATTCTATATTTTTAAATAGTTTGAGAGTTCATTTCGGATATAACTATGGCCGTATACCTTTATGTCACAATTGACAAAATCGAAAAATTGTTCAAGTAACGCCGATGAATCAGAGAGCTGTTTGAAAATGTCATCATCGCCGGAATGTTCACCGCCATGATGACCACCAGTTCCACCATCCAATGCGGTGCCCAGTTCGGTGGATATTTCAGATTGAAGAAGTTCGCCAAGATTAGATACTTCGTTGCCCTTTAAAAATAAAATATTAAGTTACTAAGCTCGTAACTGGTGTATTATTTAAACTTAACAAGACTTACTAGACATTCAGTAAAATCATCAATTTTAGTTTCGGCCTCTGGGCACCAGAGCAGCACATCGTCCATGAAAGGCATCCCTGAACTTGAAGTAGCCGTTGTTCGGCCAGCATCCGCAACAAAATAGGGTGGAAATAGACCAGGTGGAACCGGTTTTGGAAAAGTCTGGATTATTATGAAAGAGTTTTGAACCCGCACTCTTTCAATAACTAAAAATTATACAACATTTCAATGATAATATAAAAATAATCTTATTAAAACGTATGTATATATTATATATCAAGTTCATATTATCAGCAATGTTAGTAATATATTTTAATAAACATATTTATAATTGCTAATTTATATTACCGAAACAATTTTTAATTTTATTCAGTAATCCATCAATAATTCAGTAATATATTTTAATTTCATTATGGTTTTAATAATAATGATAAAACAGTTTTACATACCAAAAATTAATATTTAAACTCAAGTAGTTTAATACTATACTACATTATAGTTGGGATTTTAAGGAAACAGGAATATTTCATTAGCAGTTTAAAAAAGTTCCGTATAAGTAACAATGAATATTGAATTCGTAGACATAAACTATAAATATTTTTATCCTACCTTAAAATAAAACTTAATGAATAGATTTTGACTTATAAACGGTGAATTATGGTATATACTATTATATTGTTTCGATTTGTATAATTTTTTTTTGCCGTGTTTTTGTACACGATACAAATATTAAACATGTTTGGCATATAGCAGTATTTATAGTTTTAATAACAACAGGAAATAAAAAAAAAAATTAGTAATGCAATAACGTTAAATTCGTTTAAACATCAAACATGTTTAAGTTTTTAATTTAATGTGCGATAGTTCGACTAACTTTAATAGTGAAAAGTAAATGCGATTGATTACATTATAAAAGTTCACATTTTAAACTAGTGACAATGATATATTTACACAATTTTATAGTTAATACACTTCAATAAGGTACTAATTATTATTTTTAATGATATTTCCTATGTTTTAATGATTTAAAAATACAATCGTTTTAATAGTAACCAAAATATTATGTTAAATAATATATTTATTAAAATAATTACAATATGTACCTACCCATACAGAATCTTGAATAATCAAGATTTACATTCTTTTATATAAATTTACGTTTTCACCCATTAAGTAGCTTAGTGTTTACCTTGGAAGATTATCATACTAGTAAGCTACATCAAAAATATTATCTTTATTATTTTTTTTACTAACAAAAAATATATTCACAATCTAGTGCTATAGAATAATTAGTATGATGCATATAAAATTTAGAAACATTAACACGTATTCTAATCGTCCTCGACCAAGCCACAACAATTATCAATTATCATGTAATCTAAAAAATGTTAAAATTCAATCTCAATAATAATTTAATTTTAAAAATTAAATCTTTATTAAAAATTCTTTGATAAAAAAAAATAATAATAATAATAATAATAGTAATATATATTTATATTTATAGTATAGGAATTTATTTCTTAAGGTGCATAATTTTGAAATTAATATGAATTATCTATGTCAATCTTGGACCCGCGTCGATTTTTGTCAAATATAAATATTGAACCATCCACAAAATAATTTTTAACAAATATTACATTTTAATTACTTCAAAATATAATAACCTTTATAAACATGTGTTGTATATATACAACAATTTATATACACCATTACATAAATATGTTCTAATAAGCATTAATACTACGAAGGTTTTATTTATATTTGTATAATAGATACCTATATATTTATATAACAGTATTAAAAAAAAAAAAAAAAAAAAAAAAAAAATGGAAAATGGAAAGTTTTATAGGTACGTAGGTAGGACTTAATAAAATACTTATATGAATATACATACGATCATACAAGTAAAATTATATTATGAAATAAATTAATGTTAAATGTTAATATATTTAAATATTATATCTTAAATTTAATGAAAAGCCGACTTTATAAAATAAGAACAGTTTACAATAATGAAATTTAAATTGTATAAAATTAATTGTACCAAGGAAAATTTATTTTAATAAAAAAAAAAAAATAAAAAAATAAGACAGTAGGAAATTGACAAAAAACAAAATTTCTCTGATAAAAAAATCATCTTAAAGAAAATAAACTGCCAACAAAAATTTCCAGATTAGTAATTTATTTGTATTAACATATTCTATTAAATCCTTAAATCTATATCAGTTTATTGTTGTCAGTTTTTATACTAGAACCGGAATCTAACATTTTCATACGCAGACATGATATTATATTGTGCATACATTCAATTTATCGTAAAATCACCTCAATTCATTATAATGTAACTGTATATATAATATACATGTGTACATGAGTACCATAATTTTATAATTATATAAAACTCGGAATTTCGAGTTATTCACGAAAATATTCGAGTTAAACAAGATTTTTCGCATTGTTTAAATAGGAAATTCTATAGACCGGAAAAAAAAAGTTAGAGGTATTAACGATTTCTAGTTAAAGAAGTTCGAATTAATTAAGTTCGACTACGTTATATAATATTTTTAAACTGAGATATTATCATTCACTAGGGCAGTGGTTCTTAACCGGGGTGACATGGACGCAGTGTAGGGGTTCACGAAATCTCCAAAAGAAAAGGAAAAAAATAAAAAAATAATTAATTTTAATAAAATTATATTATTGCTATAACATCATAACTATCATGTGAATAGCTTACCTTTAAGTTTGTGTCTTTATATTATTTAGATCCGATAAATACGTGCAGTATTTTGATTTGTGTTATCGAATTATGCATTATCGATAATCTTATTGATTTAACCGGGGTCGTTAGTCAGTTATTTTAAAGTCGCTAGATATTTAGTGTTATAGCTCTACAACTCTAGAAGACAATATGACAATATTTCCACCATTAACCCTCAACTTCCTCAACTTTGCAAAAACCACCAGGGCCTAATTTCTCATCAGTTTTCATACAAATCATTATTATTTTTTTTTTAATTTGCAAATTTAAACTTTTAACTGACAATTATTATTGAACCCTGCAACTCAAATAAATTGTAGGTGAACTTAATATTTTTCTGTTTACTGTATTTTTTTTTTGGGTTATTTCAAGAATTATTCTAAAACATACAGTTAATATTATTTATTATTTTGACATTAGGGTAACACGTTGTTTTATTCTAGTGGCTAAAGGTGACATGGACGAGAAAAGGATGAGAATCACTACACTATGGTTTTCATTTTTGTTTTATATCAAAGTATAGTATACCATCAAGTATACAATAAATACAATAAATAAAAATGTTTAGTTATTACATATTTAGGTTAATCAACTTAAACTACAAGTACTTATGCGTGGATATTAGATTATTATTTTCTTTCTTGCAGGTATGTTATATAAATAAGGTGTGATCATATTATCAAAAAGTTAAATTTTTTCAAAAAAATAAATAAAAAAGCGATTTAAAGACGATGATTTTCTACAGAAATGTGTTAGCATAAATTAAACAAATGTTAAGTATTGAATATAAATGTAACACTATATCTATACGATTATGTGCATTTCGAATCCGAAAAAATACATTTTATATGACCTTAGAACCAGTATATTTCCATGGAAATATTTATCTCGATGAAATAATATAGTTATTTAGTTTTATAAAATTATTTACTAAATAAGATTATTGCAAACATTTCAAATAAAAATTAAAAAATGCATGGGTATTAGAAAAAATGCGTTATATTCGTGCACGTTCGACATCATCAATCATGGTAATTCGAATATTTAACGATAAAATTACGGTCGTCCACGTTACGATTCAAATTTTATCGGAACGAATGTTAATGATAATATTGTTTTTTCACAACTTATCTGCGTTACGATATACGTAGATGTTGACCAAGAACGAAGACGCGTGTATCTAAATATGTATTCACACATGACGAAAATGGAAACGTCTCTTATTACGTTATGCTTAAGATTAACATTGATTATATAGAATAAATATTTTATTAATGGTAATCAATAAACAGAATAAAGGTTCAAAATAAATCGTAAGTGTCCACAATTCACGGTAAGCTTTCGGATCAGTCAGTCTTAGTAAACACATGAAAGCCAAAGTCATAAGATATAGATTAGAAATAATTTGTAGGTAACACACACGGTTAGCCGGTTACCTTGACGTAACGGCTAGGACAATCGAAAAATCGTGTCCAAAGATCGATACATAATTGTAGAAAAGAAAAATAAATCGTTATTTAATCTCATCGGAAGCTCATGAACGGGGGAGAGTTTTTTTCAATCCATTTACGCTGAAATTTGCTACAAAATCTAGAATTTCTTCAAAACTTTTCATTTATTGGCGGAGAAGTTTCAGACATTCGCGGGTCGATGAAACGACGGAATAAAACACGGGAATTATAAACTTAACATTTATCATACATCATGGTCCATAGATTGCACGCTCACGTAGTAGTTTGATTGAGGTGGTTGGTAGAAATTCGAGCAATCTGTTTGTTCTTTAAGTTGGACAATAAAAACACGGTTAGTACTATTCGGTACTATCGATGTCCGCCAACGGATATACTTTACGAATTCGGTAGTGTTCATAGACTTGTTTTTCCATCTACTCGTCACGAAAATAGCACTCAAACAATGTTTACCTTAAGTGAAGAGTCGTGTTCGTTCTTCATTGCTCGTTCAAATAAATCGATTTCCACTTTTCTTTGGAGTACATTTTTTCGCGCCTGAAACGAAAAAGAGAAAATATAAATTTCCGCCATCGTAACAACGTACTCTAACGGATTGTTGTTGGTAAACGATGGCGTGACACTGAGCGCACCGTGTAGATCTCGCTCTTACAAGTGTGCCCGTCCGACTCGTTTGTTATTGTTTTTATTTTTTGAGGTTACCCTACGGAACGTTATCACATTATTATTTTAATTTTTATCAACATTCAACAGTTATTTGCAATTGTTATTATTATTATGTTTGTGAATTTAAAAACGTTTCACTTTCTACTATAATTCACTTTGGTGTTCGATGTTAATATCGTCTAGTCTCATGTTATTTACATTTTAGAATTTGTAATTCTTAGTTATTTGGTAGGTTTATTCGACCTATGATCAGCGCCCCCGGGGAAGGGGATTCGTTAATCAGTTTTTTTTGACATTTTATGGATGATTATTTTTGATTTTAGAGACGCAATGTCATCTAGCAGTAATGACGAATTGGACATGACGTCACCCTCATTCAATCCGACCAAAGCACTGTATTCTAAAAATGTAAAAATGCTTAGCGATACAGCTCAACCACTAGATAACATTTCAAAATTTGAACTGACTGCTTCTGGAGAAGTTAAAATCAAAGCAGAAAAACCTAGAGTAATTATTAAATTGCCAGTATAGTGATAGTTAAGTTGTTTTAATCAGATCCTTGAATTTTATAGAAACTCAATGAATACCATACCGAAGCTGAACCGATAGAACGTGATTTAAGTAGAGGTAAATTCTTGGCATATAAGTTTTTTTAAAATATTTAAAAAAAAAGTCTATTTTAGTCGCTAGTACATCTCAAACAACTCTATTACGAAGGAAATTTAAACCGAGACGCACTGTATTAGCACGTATGTCAGAAATCTCTAAATCTCGTGGGCCATTATCACGTATTGCCACATTTTGTCATAGAAAACAACGGGTTAAAGTTTATACACGGTCAGCTGCATCTGTTAGAGGTCATTGTGAAGGGTACATTTCTGCTTTTGACAAACACTGGAACTTAGTCATGGATGATGTAGATGAAGTATGGACAAGAAAAAACAAATACAAATCATTAGCTATCGGTAAGGTTATCTCTTGTAAATTATAATTTTCAAGTTATTTTAATATTTCTTTTCAATACTGAACGTTTTTGCTTGTATTTAGTCCTTATAAATGTTTACATTCTGGTATAATCTACTACTAATTGACTGTATATTCAAGTATATGGCATTTTTATGTATGTTATAATTTAACATTGTTACCTAGACTTAAGTTTAAGTTTAATATGTAAGTAACTGAAATGTATTTATTTATGACAAAAATATATTGTATCATAAAACTAAATATAATTTGTGTTAAGTATAAGAAACGAATAGTTAATAAATATTTTATTATAAAAAATATAATTTTTATTTTTCTTTACTAACAGAACATATAGCTTTTATATTTTATCCATTTTAAAACTATAAGAAAATAAATTAATTAAAAATTAATATGTAAACCAGTATCCAATAATCAAAGGTGGGCATTAACTAGTTAAAAATTTAAATTTATGTTAATTTTTTTATACTTTTTAACTTAAATAGTTAGTTTATTTTCTAATAAACTTTTTAACTTGACTAGTTTAATTGACAGTTGAAATCATTTTGCTTTTCACAGTTGATTTAAAAATGATATATCAAGTTAAACATTTTTGAAATTTTTCGTTTGTATGTAAATATTAATATAAAAATTAAATAATCATGTAAAGTAAAATTGTCACATACACTGTACATCAAATATCATATTAGATTTTGTAGGTTGGAGGTCCACCTTTGGGAATTGAATTCTGGCCATGGATACAAAATGTTATGTATAAAGAATTTTAACTATAAAGATAAATAAACATAGTAGTGAATGGTCCCTTAAAGTACAATCTCATATAATTTCTCAAACACTTGTGCCATTCCTGTATATTATGATAAAAAAACAATAACATTTTTTATCATAATTTAGGAAATTAGATCTTTCTTAAGAATGCAGTCACTTTTTATATGATCTACAAACTAATAAAAAAAAAAAAAAAATAAAAAAATACATTAACTTTTTTTTAAACTGAGTTAAGTTAATATTTTATTCTTTATTAACTTTTAACTTATCGAGTTGATTATTTTCATTAACTTGCCTATCTTTTCCAATGATACTACTTTGCTATAATGACCCAGAAGTGGCTACAGTTAATCATATTTTGTTATTTTACATACAATTAATAAGTAACAGGATACAATAATTATACATATTTCTATGGATCACATGCTAAAATATAAATTATGTATTAATTTTTTCAATTCTATCAGTCAAAAATCATCAGAATGTTTAAATTATTTTAATAGCAATTATCACATTTCTTATAAGAAATCTCAAGGCTCATTAAGTATAAGAAAATATTTAAGAATATTAAACTCACATTGTTGATATACATGTTATACTATAATATATACTAAAAATAATTAAGCCAGAAATACGGTTTCATAAAAAGATTAATTTAAATTAAAAGTATTGACTATTATTTCTTCTTAATTAAAACAATTATTATTAATTTCTTGACCTTGTAATTATATTATTCTTAATAATGCTTCTAATACTAAAAGATACTTAATTATATTTTTAATTTTAAAAGATAGTTATCTAATAAAAGTTTTAAGGTTCATTTTTATTTTTATATACTTGTTAAACACCTGAATATACTTAAAAAATAATTGAACAGCTAGTGTTTCACTTAGTTTTTAAATTGTATTCATTATAAATCTAACTTTAAAGTTCATTAAAGTTACAATTTCACATATTTTTCTGTAATATTTGGATTTTATTATTCAATACATCAATACACAATACAACGTATACATACATTGGTTTTATAAAATAAATTAAACATATTTTAATTTTTGTTACTATTTTTAAACACTTTTATTATAAATAAGGAATAGATACTAAAATTATTTTTTGTCAATTGATATGTATTTATTTACACGCAATACTTATAAAATATGCATAATAAACTTGTTCACCTAAATTCGGATCACTGCCCTATTGATAGTGCTGCTAACGAAAAAATTACCATTACTGAACACTACTAAGATATAATGCATTATTTATTATTTGTGTACTAGTTGCTTCTATCTACATAGTGCGTTTCAATTGAGTCGATTGTTTAACCTTTTAATAACCTAGTGGGAAGTAAAAATATATAATTCTTTGATCATTATTATTAACATTTATGACTTGCAATTACACAAATGACCAAATTAATAAAAACAATATAACAGTAAAAATAAAAATACATTGTCAAAGGAAGATTAATAGGTATTAAAATGTTGATAAATATGTGTTTGAATATAAAACAATAAAAAATATAAACAAAACGTGTAACACCATTCTCATCTAGAATAGGTTAAAATTACTTGTGTTAAGATAACTGCACACACTTGTTTTTATGTTATATGAATTATAATAGTTTTTATTATGCACAATAGATAATATTATACAGTTGAATTTATTCTCATCAGTATTCTCTAAGGAGTTATAAGTTATACGGTATTAAATTTTTATTGAACATCGAATATATTGTTCATAATATTCTACGAGTATTTAAGTGTTTAAATCTTTAATCATACAACTAAATAAGTATTATTGTGTTAAAAGCACAATTTTAAATTATTTTCAAAGATCTAGAAGATTAATGTCTATGTTCAAATAGTTGTTATATAATAACAATGCAACACTAATATTAATGTACAACTGAATACAGATATACACATATGTACACTTCGTGTATTTAATATTAAAAGGATTTGAGCTTGAAATCTGTTAAGGTCAATATTTTTCCTCTCTACGTAGAAAAAATACATATTCAAAAGGTGTGATACACGTATAATAATGTCTACACGCAAGACGATTTGTGCTATTGAAGTTGAAGGCTGTTGCATTGAAACCCACCCTATCATGAAAAACCTGTTTACTAGACGTCGTTAACATTGATAATCTGAAGAAAATAATTAAATTATCTACATGGTAGAGTTGCCCCAATGGTTTCCGGTAGTTTTCCATATAATTAAAAACGATCGATGATAAATATCTTGGCCAAATACGGGGTAAAGGAACAACTATGAAGCATTTTGTATACTTCTGATGTTACGCTTTATAACGGTTTATTTGTCATTAAATAATGAATTCAAACATTATCTATTAAATTTAATAAGTATGCAAAAAAAAAATCAATATTTTTTTATGTCTTTGTTATAGTTATCTCTGAAAGTAATGTTCAGTATTTTTGAAATCTTTTAGCGGACAAAAAAAAAATTGAGATAGTTTATTGTTTTAAATTAATTAATTTCGATTAAACAACTCGATGGCTATAGAATTTTGTAGACAATTGCTCGTTGCACTGTTTATTTTTTTTCTTAATTTAATATTAGAATGCTTTACGTCAGCAGTTACATGATTTTTTTATTATTGAAATTATGAATAAAATAACGATTATATTTAGGTTTATTTTTATTTTTGCACACGCAAATTTTTTTTTTAAATTTTATCGACCTTGACACAGTGCGTAGGTTACGGCGACGAGTAAAATATTTTTCGTTTAGCCGTTGAGCAATTTTTTTTTTTGGAGCATTTTCAGTATTTTTTCAGCATTTTTTTTTAATGGTAATATTGATTATAATAGTAATTTATAGGTACATAATATAAATAAATACACTTTTAAACGTGAATGCCCTCGTGAGTTTTTTATGTTTAAGCGTGTATCGTGTATGTGATCAATTTAATAATTTTCGCAAGAACGGCGGTTGACGGCCACATGTTAACCTTACACTGGATACCTTGACAGTGTTAGCTGGACAATTTTGTAGTTATTATGCAGTTCATATCCAGTTTGCGTAGTTGGTGACCTTAGCTAAATGTTTTTTGCTATGTATTTGTTTTTTTTACGATTTATTTCTAATTATTGTGTAATGTCAAAAATGATGATGATAAACAAAACCGATTATGGTTTTTTTTAATTTTCTTAACTTCTATTATACTACTAATACATTTTTTTTTTTTCGTAGGTAACTCAATAAAAATGGACCCGGTGGAGAAACCTTACACCGTTATCAGAAGGATTCGAGGACACCAGGTATGCCGAAGGCATATACCGCGATTTTTGATACGAGGGGAACAAATAGTTTTAGTGGCCAAATGTTTCAATTGAAAAAAAAAACAAATCAATATTATACTGTGTAATGTTTTAACTGGGAGCTTAAAAAACAAATAACATTTACCCGGAAACAAAATAGTCTTTAGTCGCGAACAGAGAATTCTACAAACAAATCGCGCGCAATGTAAATAAAAAAATTGCTGTCGTAACATTTTTCCCGATGGAAATTTATAAATTTTGTGTAAGTATTGTTTTCACGTTTTTGTGTATTGTTTTGATCGTTGTGGCAATAGCCTAGTGGAAAATTTAGCGTCGGTGGCGGTGGAGGAGGGGGTGACACGTGCGTCGCGATTAACGATGCATGCCGGGCTCGGGCTGAAAACAGTAAGGTCAGGCGCGTAGTTAGAAATTTCTAAGGGGGGGAGGTGTTATTCAAAATTAATTAATAAAATTATACACAGGAAATTGATTACTTTACGTATATTTAAATTTTTCACATATATATTATAATAATTAATACAAAAAAAAATAAAAATATTTTTAATTAAATTAACTTAATGCGTCTACTTTTTAAAGCTAAAGTATCTATTATTTTGTCAGTGGTTACGACTAAATCCTGATGAATATTTATAACTGCTAAGCTATTCAACCGATTTTCACTAGTTGTGTTCCTCAAATATGTTTTTAAGCTTCGTGAAGAGGAAAAAGATCTTTCATTGCTTGCAATGGTTATTGGTAAAGTAATTAATATTTTTAAAAGTCGATGAACAGTAAGAAATATTTATTATTGTGTTATGCCGAAAGTACAACAGTCTACGAGTAGCCGACTACAAAGTTTTGTTTCGGAGTTTAAAGATACACTTACATCCGATGGACTTGTTATATCTTGTGTTCTATGTAGTAATTTTTTTTTTTTTTAATGCATATAAATGCATATTATAATGCATATTTTAATGTTTTTAGAAGCATATTTATGTATTTTTTAGAGCTATAAGTCCCTAAGCCTAGTAATTACTAATTAATGCCGGGTCCCGGTTTTAGTGCTTTAAATTATTGTTATCGTAATATATATTTCATTTTGATAAATAAGTGTAAGTTACGGTTTATGATGCATCTTTATCTTGATAAAACATATTAAGTATACCACGGCTGAGGGGTAGGGGTGTTACTACACCTGTAACATCCCTCTCTGGTTATGTGCCTGGTTAAGGTAAACTGCTTAAAAAAATATTTAACAAAACTATAATACATAAACTTCGAAGTCCCGGTTTGTCTCTATGTACTACATGCTAATATATTTGTGGAAAATTGAATAACGGTACTTTCTCTGGGTGCGCAGATAAAGCGATAAAATAACAGCGCGCCGGAGAAAAAAATAAACCAGAATAATACACTATGCGTGTGTGCAGCAGACAGGTTCGCGGTCCTTAGTGAAAGTAAAACTCGGCGCTAACTTTCACCGACGTCTTCTAACTGGTGTGATATTATAACGGTGTTTTGATTTTCCAACTAGTATATATATCATATAATACGCATTGTGACGACAACGGTTTTATTGTTTTATTTATTTATTTTTTTCAAATTATTCATAAAACTGTGAATCGCGTAAGGAAAAATCGCGTCGTTCCAAATATCATTAAATGTGTATACATCTTAGACCTCGTGATTTCATATTTCATCAATACGTTGTGCCGATACACGTATAACATAAAACATGTACGAATGCCTACAAGTTTTCTATAAATTATTAACGTATATATTAACACTAAATAGGCACCTATACACTTTGGTAGCGTAATACGAGTACGTACACGGTGTGTAGGCGAGCGTGTGGATATTTTGTAATGAAAAAGGTTATAGTGCGCGATGTTTGTTTCCCGATCAAGTAAATTAGGTGTATGAAGATTACGATAATACCGTTGGTTTGCGGTAAAAAAAAAATCTTCCATGCACGACAAGGGCGTCTTGCAAACGGATCCGAAAAAATTCGCATAAGATCCAAAGGGTGTACGTACTCCTACGTATATTCCGTCGACTATATACTATAATTGAACTTGGGCAAATGTACGCGACTACGTATATGTACAAATAGTTATTGTGTACTGTTATGTAAACGTTTCCCGTTAAAAATCCTAATGACCTGAGGTCGTCCTCCGCAGTGATTAATCTATTATTGTTATTACTATAATGAGTACAATGGTTAGGTACGGTATTGTATTAGGCTAATTATTTTTGTTGTGGTGATTCAAAGGCTCGTGTACACATATTGTATGCTCCAGACGACTACTGGTATAGATTGTGTCGGAAAAATATATCCATAGTCGCTAAATATTTTATCAAATATTAACGGTCGATGGACGTACGAAAAGAAAAAATCACAAATATAATGATAAAATAGAGAGTATTTTTCTGCCGTAAAGATTCAGTGATATATTTGTATAATGATTGTATGTGGTAATCAGTATTTTGATTTTTTTAAATTTCTGTTTCCAGTTTCTTATCAATATCGAGGTAGTGTATTAACTGTCTAACGACAAATATCATAGGTTTTCCTATGATTGTTGTCGAGTGTATACACTGTACTTTTGTCCCATATACTATTAAATTATGTTAGCCCGTTTTCCATAACGATTGGATTCCGTGAATTTTTTTTTTTTTTTACAAAAACCTTTGTTATTTTTACACAATAATATACGATTACAGCTTTCAGCTGTTTCGTATATTGAGGCAAACTACAATTATTTATGTTGTACTGGAGTACACTAAAAAATAATCCCTGGATCACTGCCCTGTTGTTGATGTAGGTCACGCGTCAAGCATTCTAGTGTCAACTCTAAAACATAATATGATACGTATCGGGAACGTGATTATAACGATTGCCGTTATCGTCAACGCCTAACTCTTAAGGGACTCGTATATACACGCATAAAATCTTGCGGCTAGAATATAATGTTTTCACATACCAATGGATAAAAAACTCAAAGAAATCGTCTTCGGCAGATTTTTAAACTCCACTAGTATGAATAATAATAATAATCATCGTTATTGGTATTTGTTTTGTTTCCTGGCCAGACGGGAATCGATTGTTCGCTCGGCTTTTGCCGTTAGTTGGTCGCTCATTAAAATATTGTCGAGTTGATCGTGACTTCTTTCGCGTACCATTAGACCGAATTTTGCGGCAGATGATTCTCGCGGCGATGACGGCGCATCAGTGGGACAGTTTTAGTTGAGATTTCGAGTGTAAGAATTATGAATAAATAAACAATAAATCCATGTCAACATCACTGTCGATAGTGACATACGTAACGGGTATAGATGGGGTGACAAGATTATCACTCGGGCTCGCTCTTCCGAACATAGTTAAGCAATTTAAATATTCAGCAAGTGAATTAATGTCATATTTTTCAAAATACATATTTATTAATATACATATGTTTTATATTAAATTAATATATATATATTTCATAATAAAAATCAACTATAAGGATAGTTGTCACATATTATGTTTTTAGTGGTGAAATACAATCAATAATTTACTTATAAATTATAATTTATAATCGTGATGTGTTCAAATTTACTCTCTTATATTTGGTGTTTATTGTACTTATACACTACATTAAGTACATTTGTAGTACATAAGTCTTATTTACTACAAATGTATTTATTTTAGCTCCCTTCCCTTACGTTTTTTCCCGATTACGCCATCGGCTTCGGCCGGGTGACGTCAAATATAAATCGGAGATGGGACTCGCAAGTCTGTACACGGGATCACGTTGTTTTCTGTGAATCTGCGAATACGCGTGTGGGCAGTGAAACGGCTCGGACAATTCGTCACGTGTTTTTCCGCCCGAAAATCGGTGTTGGTCGTGGAGAGAAGAGAACAACTCGTAGCAAAAAAATTAAAAAAAACCGTTAGCAACTCGCGTAATACCGTCGCAGAGACGACCGTATATAAACGCGTCGCCCAAGCGAAATCGAAACAAATTTTACCGACTTTCTAACGGTTGTAATACGTATAATAATACGAGTTCCGCGGATTATTATTATTGCCACTTTTATCGGACGTTTTATTTATTTTTTTTTTTTTACTACTGCTAATAAGACTTGTTTTCCCATACACACTACACGCGTCGCTGTCACCGTTTAAAGTTCACGAGACTGGCTTAGTGGTATGTAAAAAATGGGAATACCAACACAATATGCGTTTTGTTACTGGTATACTAATATATTTTACCATTATGCGATTGTGCACGTCACGACGTACGAATAATAATTAAAATAACAAATAAAATAAAAATATTAATTATAATAAACATTATAATGGTACCCGTTTCAACGTTTGAAATGACCGCCTTTGGTTTCCGATAATTAGCGTTTTACCGATAACCCTTGTTGTTTTGTTACTTTATTTTTTCGCCTGTTCCTAACTGTACGGTCTGATACGATAAACACGCTAAGAGATAAAAGGCGGGTATTGATTTTAAAACTGTTTGTATATCATATTTTATCGAGTGAAACTGTATCATGTACGAGTTTAAATATTAAATAAAAACGACACTAGAATTACTCTGGTATGGTATAGTATAATAATATGTAAATCAATTTAAAATACGAAATTATTGTTTCGTTTAAAGAAAATGATTGCTATATAATATATTGTACAATGGAGGAATAGTAAGAAAACGTTGTTTTTAATGCGTTTATGCTTGACTAGAGTATTGCAGAGGACAGAAAAGAGGAAACGAGAGAATATTATAATATACATTTAATATGTATATGGATGATAATATACGTATAATATTTTAATGAGAGAATTCGAGTTATCGAGAAAATTAGAAAGTATGATATATTTCGAACGTTTAGATTGTTATTATTATTGTGATAAACTAAATTAGTAAATTTTTGTGTGTTTTCAGTACTCATCGTCGGCAAAACTATTATTGCACCATGAAAAGCGTACGATTTTCCTATTTATTTCGTGTATGTTTTAAGCATAAATAATACTAATTATGTTCGTCGACGGAGCGGATATTAATACATATACAATCATATAGATTGTCTGTAACCTTTGTACTA